AAGCCTCATCTTTCTCCCGCGGAGCAGCTGGTAGTTTCGAACCGCTGACCTTAAGGTTCGCAGCCCGATTCGTAACCACTACGCTACCAGAGTGATTATTAATTTCTAGTTTGGGAAGGAAGCTTTTAATGTTAATGACTAGCAAATAATTTATGATTATTTATTTACTTATTGAAGAAATCTGTATTGTGTAAATACCATGTATTACACTTTAAGGAAATAAAAGTATCTGAAGTTATCAATCCAGTCATCACAGGTGTTTGCATTCAATTTTTTGAAAATCTCTTTATTACAAAAATAAAAACCAATGTTGAGTCTTTTCAATTGTATGAATCTCAAGAAGATGATAACACATAAAGCCTGTGGCTTCGCTGACAGGGTATTTTTATTGGACTGCAATCATTTTGTTGATGAAATCAAAATGTAAGGGCAAAGAGTCCTTAGTTTATCTTAACAGAGTGGCAGACATATAAGTGCTTACTGTCTGCTGTGTGTGTGAGTGAGTGTGTGTTCATTTTATAAGAACACCCTGATCCTTAGCATCTTGTAACTATCCTACACATATGTTTTAGAAAAGGATAAGCTATTTTCCACCTAAACTGTGACTTTTTTTCTGTTTTCTGACAGTGGTGAATTCTGACATTTCATGCCATTATAAAAACTATCCAATGCATATCTTTGCCTACAGAGTTCATACTCACCATTTAGGTAAGAACTTTACGCTACATGTTAAATATACTTTTAAAAATAGGTATTTATAATCATAAATTTAAATAAAAATTCTTACTAATGCTATAAATATAAAACGTAAATTTTATTTGGCCTTTAATCTATTTGAATGAAATAATTTGCAAAATACCTCTAAATTTTTATTTTATTTATTGTTTCATATTATTCTCATTAATATACCCAGCATTTTGAGTTTGGAAGATTTTATCTTAACACATGTTTCTTATAGGTAAGGTCGTGAGTGGATACAGATTAAGAAATGGACAGTGGTCATTAATTGGACGTCAGAGCCCCCAGTTGCCACAGGTTTGCAGAATCTAATCTAATTTTGTGGAAATCATATTATTGTTGTTAAGTCTCGTTGTGTCGGTTGCAACTCATAGCGATTCTGTATAAGGTTTCCAAGGAGTAGCTGCTAAGTCTGAACCATCAATCTTGTGCTTCATATAACCTTGCAGTCCAGTGCTTATTCTACCAGGAAACAATATTAAT